TAAGAACTTCAACTTTAAGTATGTATGTCATACACTATATCTAAATGATAATTAGTGACCCACTTTATTAGTCTAAATCGTGACATTGTTAACGGCCGGGGCTGGTGTTACAACTTCAACATATCTATCGGAACACATACAAAATATAATTAAGATGAGCCGAGTAATAATGTTATTTGAGATGAACGTCATCAATATGCCAAAAAAAATTAAAGCACGCGCGTCTCTCAAACAAACCGGCGGGCTGCATTCAGGGTGGCATTAGTAACAGGGAGGGGGGCGAGGGTGGCCGGTGAGGAGGGAGGGAGGGGGGGCGGCCTCGGCTAGGTGATAGAGAATCGACGGACATCAAAGTCTGATAATTACATATCATTAAAAAATCAATTCCATCAAAGTTACATGAGCGTGACGTTCAAAATGTTTATAAAACATAAGCGGCTTGAGCTCGACGTGTTCGGTGTTACGTCACGCTTTGTTGTGAAACTTCTGTCCTATTGAAGCTGACGCTCTTTGTTGTGTTTCAGAGATTTTAAAAATAGTATCGAATACAAAAAGAAAACAACACACGTATGTATATACATATACGAACCTCGCTCACACCTACATATGTACATACATATATACAGGGTGTATACTGTATACATAATGGTCGCCTACTTAATTTAAACATATATATATAAGACCATTAAGTTGAACTTAAGTACCGAACATTTTGAAACCAGCGTCGAATAAGGAAATAAATCTGTGTGTATTTGGGTTTCGTGCCAATTCTTTGTTTCTCGGAACTCGATCGATGTCGCATGTTTAATTTTGTATCTTAAAAAAAAACACGTGGCAGGATGTTAACATTAATGACACGTTTGAGACGTTCAGGTTCCGATTTTCTTAATACTGTTTATAGCTGAACCGTAAATCAAAGTTTTGACATTATAAATGCACTATTATTGAAGTAACTATATGTATATTAACCATTGGAAATCATTTTATTGCCATCATTTAAACTAAAATTAATTCCGCGCGACCGCATTGAGGTTAACTCATTCAGACATAATACTCATTACACCAAAATTTTAGTCAGTGAATAAATAAAGCGGCTCTGATAAATTAAATAGTTCCATTACACTTGTAAAGTTTTGTTATTAATATTGTGTTTCTGTCAGTACGTCTCTAATATTAGATAACATTTCAATACTCGTGAATATAATAATATTCGGACAGTAGTCTATAAATCTAGCTCTCGGTTAAGGCTCTATTAATAGCGGCTGTATTGATTTTTAGGGAAGCCTGTCTCCGAGCTCTCTGGACCCTAGGCTTCTGGCGATTATCTTTCAATGCAATCTTCAATATCATAATGCGGCTCCCGATAAGACAATCATCTCCATAGATTTAAATATGGCTTAAGATATTCTATTATACATAATTATAAGTATTTTTGTATATTTAATATATTTATTTGTATAACGTATTTCATTTTTAATTACACAATACCGTTGTTATTGTTGTTTCAAAATGTTTTCTATAGTGTTCTTTTGTGATGATCGTGAATATAATAAAACAAACGCAGCCGTCTCTTGATCCAGTGGAACACAATGGATATTCGGACTTGAGGTCAATATTCAATATATATTGTGGATGTACCTACATAAGTACTGGAGTGTGCGCTATTTGTATGAAACACAGTTTATATTTGGTCGACACAGTGCAACACTGTGTATTGTAACTGATGTGGCGAGCCTTTGTGTTGCTTCCTTGTTATATTTCAATAGAGCTCTTGTATTGATTCACTTTTACAACTCCAAATGACATTTCCGAGATTTCTTTTACGTCACGTCTAAGAAGGGAGGCTGTAAAGGTCAAGTTCACGGAGGCCATATCTACTAAGAAGTTGGGAAACACGAACAACTGACCTCGGAAGGTCGAAATGGATTCACATAATAATTTCTCTTAAGAATAAGTACGGTTAATTTTATAAAAGGTATATAGTAATTTTGTAATAACCCTACAATATTACAAACTGAAGGGTGTCTTCATCATATATTGTAAATTTCTCTTTGAAACTTAACAATAACTTTTAATTCTATTTCAAACCTATTAGTAATTATATTTTTCTATTCGATAGTTTTAAGCAGTGATACAAAAAAAGGAATAGAGTGGCCAGGTTAGTAAGCTTTGTGATCATTGAGAAGGTGAGCTACATCAATGTAACCACGGGAAAATGTTTGATTTATGAATTTATTAAACTATTGACTTCATTAAGAAGTTTCAAATTATAAGTTAATTAAAAAAAAATACTCCCATCAAGCCTTTAATTTTTTATATCCTCAGCGTAGTATTAGATAAATGGTCATTAATATAAAACTAGTAAACATTATAAGCTATTAATTATAATTATAATAATTACCACATAATTATAATAAAATGTACTTATTACGAGTGACAATTTCATATAAAGTCGCTTGGACATTATATTTTAAAAGCTTTAACGTATGTATTTTTAATGAAATTGAAATATTAATGAAATTAAAATGAACACATATACCCACTAGGTATCGATTACAAGACACACAACATTATCGGTTACAATTCATTATTTAAATAATTAATAATGAAAACACGTAATTATAAATCACAGTCATTTACAAATCACATTTTCCGCGAAGCCCCAACTGAGACAGGTTTCTGACACTTTTAATATACAAAAGAAACATAATATCTAAATGAGAAATAGAATAAAATATGACCACATACCTATAAGGTATATTGTAAACATAACTCTAATCGGTTAAAGAGATAATAATAGTTAGTTTAGCTACTTATACTATCCCTCAGTAACAGTCATTTTAAATGAAAACAGTCCAAACGCTCGCCTCAGTTCCGAACAGAATAAATATTAGTTATACAACATTTAAAGTGTTTCTTATGAAAACAGTTTAAAACAGATATTATTTTAAACATTATTTTCTATTCGAATTATTATGAATAACATAGTTTCTTGTAAGTTTTCTACAGTTGAAGTCTTGTGTTGTACATAATTAGATAGATGTCTCAAGCTTATAACTGTCAATAAGTTTTACAATTGATCTGTAGTCGAGTTGTACTTTGTAGCACCGGTAAGAGGATTGCCAGGATTAGTTGATGGAGTGTTCTTTGTGCTGCGACTGTACCGAGGCGATCCTTGTTCCCGTTCAAACTAGACTTTTTCCCGAGAGTAGCGGGATTATGTCAGGGAGGAAATCAATTTGATGCTCCGGGACCGGCTTACCTTTATGGATAAACTATTTTATATTTTTAAACGCGGAAATTAATTTATTTTATTAAGTTTCCTTCTATAATAAATTTAAATTTAATTACAAACAATATTATTATGTTCATTGAAGGCTTTCCTTTTAACAGTTTCGTGTTATAGTCACCGAGTCAGACGGTGAGCGACGTTCAGGAGTACTTTAATGAATTTTGTATTATTTTCATCATTTCAACGAAACGTTTGCATCTTTAGAAGTTGGTTGTCAAGTTCGTGTTTCAGTTTCGACACTTGAAAGTCTAGAAACATTCGTTGGTAATAATCTTATCTAACTATTATTAACATACATATTTAATAAGTATTTTTTGTTTATTTAGATTTTAAAAATACTCTCACACTATATACGTATATACAAACTGGGTCACGTTGTTGATTGCATCTCTCTGAGTGCTAACCTTAGTAACGTTTCGTTTGTCACACTCTATTTTATTTGTATTTGACATCTGCAGCCTTCGGAGACTCGGTTTTTCCAATTTCACATTTCACCGTTTCCGAAATGGTTTACAGTGCTCTCGGCTAATTTCCGAGGAGCACCAGAAATGTTAGTGGAAGCTAATAAAAGAAGTCAAACACATTTGGCTTTTATATTTGCTTTTCTAATGGACTCTGACTTATAGGAAATAAAACAGGCAACGTTTTAACTTTTAATTACCTCACGCGGATGCAGATACATATGTATGTATGTATGTATGTGTACATGTCTGGTTCGGACAGACGCTTCCTTGACATTAACTGTTTATTGATTGGAGTCGTAGATTGTGTTTATAATTTTTCTTACAAACATACCTACATACCTACCTAGCTACGTCGCGTACTGTTCACACATACGAGCCAACAGCCACAGTGACGAGTCTGTATCTGTAGGTACGGTGTTATTATGTCATTGACAAACAAACCTGTCGCCGACACGGCCGCTGTCTTGTGAATACTAATTTACGTATATTAACCTTAAAAACTATAACCGGTGAAGTATCAAAGGTCATAAACTCGCTTGCATCGAAGATTCATAAAAATTTCATTTAAAAGATATATCGAATCGATTTATTAAATATCGTAAAGGCCAAATGGCGTCTTATGAACCTCTAATTTTTCCTATACAACCGGTTTGGAGAACATATTTAAAAATTAATATTTAATATCGTGTTTTGATATGTATTAAGTTCGAACATAAACACTGCATGTGCAAATAACCCATCTCAGATGAGACGTACGCAACTGAAGACGCCTCAGGTACCAGAGGTTGATACTAGTATCGTACATATGTATGTACATGTTAGATGCACACAAGTAATGCATTCGCTTAAGGATTCCGTTTCGCAAAGGCATAGCACAGCAGTGATATATCAATTAGCAAAGACACGTCTCAAGTGATGTTTACATGAATCTAAATAACCATTACATTGAATGTAACTATTTTACACTTTATTATCCCTCAACCAAAACACGAGAAATTATTTTATATTATGTAAAACTAATAACAGAATATTAGATACATATGTAATATGTTTATTGCTTAATACTACAGAGTATAATTAATTATAAAATAACAAATGCGTTTTGGTTTAAGCTTAAATTAATTATATATTCATAAACGATACAACATTTAGTTTTAAACATGGCAGTGTTCGATAATTCGTGTTTTGATATTATATTATAATTTGACTGTTTGGTTTAAACAGTGTGTTTTCTTTGGACTAACTCGGCGGCAGGGGGGTCGTTCCACCTGAAAATATGCTCAGTCTGTGAGGGTTTGTTCTGAACGGAGTGAAGCTGAAAGGTTGAAAGGTCGGCCGCTTGGTTGGTTTCAAGTACAAGTCAAATATGGACTGTGTCGAGCGCGTCTCAGATGCGACGGAGGAAAGTTTCGTTGTTTGCGGAGTTGTGGCGAGCGAACTTGGGGAACCGAATATAGGTCTCTCAGTCGTCGGTTGACTGTAACGAGATTTTCCCCTTGATGAGAACTGTGGTTTCGTTACAGACGGCTCACTGGTCACCGCCTCTGACACCGCTCTTGACGACACACTACTGTTTGATTTATTTGTTACACTTTCTTCAACTTTACTTGTCTTTTCAGTGCTGCTGTCATTTTTATTTTCTTTAATATCAATTTTAAACGGCGGACTTGTGCTTATTTTTGACAAGTATACTGAGCTGTTATTATTGTTATTTAATTGAAAATTTTGACTCGCGTTTAAGTTATTGTTAACAGTAGTTTGTTTCTTGAAAGCCCAACTAGGAAACGTAAATTCAGGTCTCTTCGTAGTGATTTCGATTCTTCGGGCTTTATTTCCTTCTGAGTCGTTTCTTGATATAACTTGTGTGGTTGTATTCGTCGATGCAGTGGGAGATGAATAGAACCTAAACCCTCGGGACCCTCCTCTTCTAGATACAGTGGCACTAGTTGTTTCGGGTGTTTGTGTGGTTGTACTTTGTGTAACAGCGTTAGTTCTTTCGCTCTTAATTTCACTCGTCGTCCGTGAAGTCACTCCAGTAGAAGGTTTCACTGTAGTCGTTAGAGGAGAGTAATGTTCATAATAATAAGTCGGTGACACGTCCTTAGAAGTGGTCTTTTTATCATCAACTATTGGCATCACCGTTGTTGAACTAGTTGTTGTTGGTGATGTACTAGAAGAGTAATAATAACGAGAATCAAAATGTTGTTCAAAGGTTTTCGTTATTTCTGGAGAGATAGTAGTTGATGAAGAAGTCGTTCGTATAGTCGTCGTGGTAAGCTCGGTTTGGGAATCAGTTTTAGGTGTCATCTCTTCTAGCTTCATCTTTCTTCTGCGGAACTGGTTCGACTCTATCCTCCGTGGTGATGGAGGTTTGATTCCTCTCAACGCGGGTTCAAGTGTTGTTGTTGTTCTGGCAGTGGTTGTAGTAGTGTATGTAGTCGCTGTGGGCGCCGTGACGAACTCGACGCGACCCTTTCTGTTTGTTACCGGTAGCTTTAGGTCATCTATATTATCTATTTTAAAGTTAACCCAGTTGAAGGGACGCTTATTATTGTTATAATATTCTCGTTCAAATTCTTCGAAATAGTTTCCTTGAAACAAGGAATTTATACTCAAGTAGTTCGGTAATGGTCGGTTGTCGTAACTTGTGTCAACAAACGGGGGCGACGTGAAATTGAGGAAATCCGTTTTAGCGCGCCGCGGGTTGTCATCGATCTTCTCTGAATAACTTTTAACGGAGTGATCACAGTCCACTATGTACTTCTTTGGGTTGCTCCTGCAGTAATGCGGGTACACTACCCAGGCCATGAATCCGTCCCCTTGTAGTCTCGTGTGCTCCTTGTATATCTGTAGAGCGCAGCGCACATCGTCCGCGATGTCATCGTCTCTGAGAGCTGAACAGGGCAGTCCGCAGGCCTTCCCTGGCCCACACCAGTACACCTCGCTTATCTGCAGCAGCCCGTGGTCGCCGCTGTTCGGGTTCCTCGCCCTCGTATCGTACCGGGACTCGTGGAAGGCGATGCACACCCACGTGGGTACCTGCTCCCTCGGTACTCCCAGCCTGAGGAGGTCGCGCGCCAGTTCACAGCGGTCGTAGATGCGAGCGCCGGCCAGTGCGATCAAAGTGCCCGTCAACAATGCCACGGCATACATATCGATGTGCGTTTGCGCATCCGAGTTCTGTGCACGCTATTTTACCGATGTCCCCCCCTCGCCCCCCGCCGCCGCTGACACCCGCCCCGACCCTGTCACACCCGTATCGTAACGGTAATATCAATTGCAGGTTAGGATGCCGATCATTTTGGGGCACGGTTAATAACTATCATTATGCGACACCTCACTCGTACACTAGTGTCTGTTCCGCGGAAGGACGCTCCGCCACACAGTTCAGAAGCCCGTTTACCTTGAGTGACACGTGCGTGTCTCAGTAATGTTTTTACGATTGTGAGATATCAACTTTGCGATGAAGTAAATTTATTTCAAGATGATTCTCAGTATGGCGAAGGTCAGACCGCGGCCGGTAAGTAAATATTAAAACTTTAAGTTAATGTATGAAACCACTTTTCTGTACCCAGAATAGTCGAGTTGGGCTCGTCTAGCGGATTAGGAGTGATGCATGTATATTTGTGTGTCAGAAAGAGGGGGGGGGGGGGTGACTAGTGGGTCACTCGAAGGACGTCCACTGTTCCTCGGTCCGTGTCTTGTTATTACAGTAACAGGTCAGAGGTGAGACGTCGGCCTCTGACTCGTTTAGAGAGGATCACGATCTTTATTAAATAATTAATTATAATACATAATATGATATCATTAATAGTTGTTTGTTAACGACAACTTTTAACAAACGTGGTTTTACTATTTGGGTTTAAAATGTACAATGAGCATTGTAACCAACTTAATAATTAAAATTTAAATGCATAATCAGCAAGAGTTACTTTAACTAAATATATCTCCGCCCTCATTAGAATGAACATTCCTGTTTAATGAGTGTCCCTGTTGACAGTTTTCAGAATTGATATTTGTAAAACTAGAATTCATAATTAAATTATCGACTTTACCTTCATACATGACAGAGGTGTTATATTATACTTATTTTCTTTATTATATCATTATAATATTCATTGGAATGAAAGAAAATATGTCTTAAACCTCAATAAAACCTAATGTGATACAATGACAGCAGATTGTGATCCCACACATTATAATGATACGAGTTTATTATTTTGTTAGCAACTTATGTTCTAATGTCTTATTGGACATCACTCATAAATCTGAATAATCAATATTTTGTTCCTCGTCGATATCATGTATAATTAATTAAATTTACACTTTTGTGGCGCTTTTGTGTGTGTGTGTGTGTGTGTGTGTGTGTGTGTGTGTGTGTGTGTGTGTGTGTGTGTGTGTGTGTGTGTTTGTGTTTGTGTGTGTGTGTGGGTGAGGAAGTAGAGGGGGTTGTCAGATTTCGGGAATGTGCTTTTTTTTCACTAATTGTTTTCATATTACAATAGTGAGTTATCTATCACAATAGCGGATTATATTCTCCTCTCTTAATTATATTTTATTAAGGAAATCAACTTGCGAAGTGGATACACATATACAAGTACAAATACTTTGACTTTTAAATTAAGTAAGACCTCATAAACAAAATCCTAATTAAGAGATGTACTACTATCGATAGTTGTGACTTTCTAGATTTCTCTCTTCTTTTTATATCGATAAATTTGTATTTATCATTTTTATTTCTACTGAAAAATGTAAACTGAAAATAGATTTTTAATTTCCGACGCAGTAAACAGATTATATTATTAAAATCTCCGAGCGCTAGTAAATAACAAGATTATCCTCGTAATATGATTTTAAATTTAAAACTTATTTAAAAACACGTGTATTTCACGAGTAAAAAGTAATCATATTGAGTTGGTTAGTGTTATTACATACGAAGAGTTTTATCAAAGTTATTTTTAATACAGGGCCAGAATTAGTCTCGTTGTTTCTGACATATTATAAAACAAAGTATCACTTGTAAATCAATAGTTACCTATGACGATTGGAACATTAGTGTTCACTCTAAAAGAATAGAATGATGTATTTCATTGTTCAGTTAAAAAAATCCACTCTTTCAGTGAATAGTATGATTGAGAGAGAATTGCGTAATTGTTATGTCAACAACTATATTTTTAACTTTATATAAAATATATCAATATGTACCATTAATCCATTTTCCAGAAATACACCATCCTATTAAATTAATTATTAACATGTATAATAAAGTTTTTGCTACGATCTTTATTGGAACTCATTTATTCTGCTCGAACCGGTTTAGATTTCGTCAAAAACAAATCTTTATATACTAAAATTTTTAATCTTTATATTACCAGTTTTATTAATTAGATAAGTTTGTTGTTTTAGAAGACAAACTAGATCGATAAATAACTTGCCTTTAATCTAGCAACTTTTTCATTTTACTTACGATCTTTTGACAACAAAGAATCTCGTTGAGTAGTGACTAAAAAATATAATATTAAAAGCCACGCTTCAAATTAGTTTTCTCATGTTTGTAACATGGAAAGTAGCAGAAAAATTAAAAACTAATATAAAAGTTATTAGCATGAACATAAGTGCATGAAGTTAATGTGGGCCGGGATTCTCGTGAAACTTAATAATAGTGTGGTCTCTTTGTGTAACACAAAGGCTTTCATCGTACGTAAAAATTTACACGCAGTTAGATGTGTGTGTGTGTGTGTGTGTATGTGTGTGTGCGTGTCATTATAATTATCTATAATTAAATTGTATTCAAGATGACAATCTCTGCTGTGATGCTGTTAGAACCGATTCCGATGTCAATTTCAATTTAGATGTACATACATATATAGATATCGATTATATAATACATACAGATATAGATTGTTATAATTAATTACCTCTACACACACACACACACCGTCCCAGATATATTATGGATGATTAAATACATTAATTACACTATATGCTTGTTATATATTATATGCTATTGTTTTATGTAATATATGTATATACGTTACTAATTATAGTATAGGCTGCATTTTCATAGCATTGTTTTTCTTCGTACGTAATGTATCATTACATTGACGAGTTACATAGGAAATCTCTCAGAGTATAACGGCGAGGAGCAAAAAACAAACGAAGAACTGTAATATAGGTGTAGTTATATATTATCACGAATATTATATTATTTATCGGATACGAGAAATGAATATTCACTGTTGGAGAGGAGAAAGGATAGACGAAATAAAAAAAGGACTCAGAGCAAAAGCAACTAAAGAGGATATCGGAAATGTTCTGTGAAAAATTTTAAAATAGAATTTCACAGGAAGATGTCTGTGTCCGAGGAAAATGTTCGCCGTAGATACAAAAATAATATTCCATCCTGAGGCAATTAATTATTTACATGTTGCTGAAAGACCGGCTCTTTGAAACAGCAAAGAATTCTAGGAAAACATATTCATATAATATTACTTTAAAATAAACATTTTTATAAAAGTACATTTACCAACAGCGGTCTCTGAAGCGAAAAACAAATCCCCTTTAAAAGTAAATATATTTTATCATACTTCGTATTTCTCTTAAAAAACATTCGCCACTGAGAATCATATTCCAGGAATTAATAAACTATAAAATGTATATAATATTGAATAACTTTTATAATTATTATTGGTTTCGATCAAAACTCATATAATATACATATGATTGTGTCATTGAGATGTTATAATATTAAGTAATATATAAAAATTATAAGATTATAATATATTTGTATGTTACATAAGACTTGCATCATGTTCATAGAAACTAATTTTTATATTAATAGATTTGATTGTACAATATCGTTTTATTTTCGCCTCAGTAGGAATGTTCCCTGATTATTAAAATACAAGTTTTAATAATGATTCAGAGAAGCAATACTTTCATAATGAACTATTTAAAATGAAAAATGTAATAACAATTAATTATACTGGGAATATTCAATATATATTCCGATATTATTGGTATAACGATCATTGAAATGTTCCGTGAATTGAATCTAAATTTAATATAATATTCAGTTCCAGAGTAAAGTAAATGAAGTGCCACCTGACTCGGGAGTTCTGAGTATTGAACTCAAAGTGTACGGAACCAATCAGTTCGATAGAGTTGTATCGGTGCATCAAGAAAACGATGACTTAGACCGCTGCGAAGTGAATCAAAACAGATATTAATTGACCAGCTCCCGTGGACCTCAAAGGGACGTTTGTTTATTGAGGGAGATATGAACGTTCTGTTTGATTAAAAAGACCCACTTCAGATGCTTTGATACGTTCAAATTTCAATTAACAGAATGCAGGCAGCCGGTCGCTAGGAACAAACACACAAATAACATTTATATATTGACACGAGATATAGTTGTTACCTTTACGAATCTCTGTTTGTTATGATTTTCATCTCTGAAATGTTATATAAGATTCAAGTTTGAAATTAAATTTCTGGGAATTTTATCTCGTAACAAACTTTCATCTAGGGTTTCCGTGGAATCGGCTTAATATACATTTTATAAGAAAACTCTATTAAAACCTCTGTACAAGTGTACTTTGAAATAGAAAATCTTATTTAACGTATATAGTAATATTTCTATATCATATTATATGTACATATATATATAACAAGTAGCTCCTTCACGAATCATGTGCGTTGAAGTTTATAAAAATGTAAAATGGCATATTGAGGCAAATTTCTATTCGATTCTGAAAATGCAGGATTTTTGAGACTTAAATATTATCTGCGAACGGAATTCAGCATTATATGAAATAGGAATTGTAGAAAATAATAATGCAAGGTATCTGTTATATTCGTTGAATTCGGTGGGGTTGTTTGAGCATCTGGAGTGGTCTCTAACAAAGTGCACTTACCAATGTTTAGGTTAGTTTACTGAGCATCAAGCTATACATACATACATACTACATAGTAAAGGCTTACCTACGGCTTTAATTTATGTTATTAAACTAAGATGATCTAGGAAACACTTCACAAGTAATAAAAGCTTTGAAGTAGTTTATATTTCATGAGATTAGTTAAATTATAAAGTTTGAAAACCTACGCTTTACTTACATTAAACCTCCGTAGACACTTGAACGTGGTACAAATTACTTAAAAAAATGAAAACTCTCGTTACTTCAGCATTAAATTATATGATTTAAATTTAAAATATGGTTAACTATATGTTTAAATATATAATATGTTTATACAACATATATCAAGTATGTTCTGTTCAAGTGATTTTAGTATTATGATGTTAGTGTCAAGTCACATGCACCGACAATCTACAAAGACGATTATGTTCGAGCCGGGTCCTGACCGCCGCTCGATATTACTTACGGCCCAAGACTCTGCACCAGGTAGGTAGTGTAGCGTGGCTTTATTATGATATAACAATAACATGATATAATAAACTTTATCTAATAGAATTTCCATATCACAATGTTAATTACCGTACTCCTCCGAAACTGCTTTTCTGATCTTACCTAATTTTATATATGTATTCAGTAGGTCTAACAATCGGCAACTATCTACTTTTCATGCCCCTAATTCATAAGGGTTGTTCATCCCTTAATTTTTTTGTTATGACGTGGCATTAAAAAAACAACCCAAATTTTTTTTATATAGCAAAACAATGATTGCCGGGACAGTTATATATAAATTCTAAGATGAAGTTATTCTCCTAGTTTACAATTCATTAATCAATTTCGATCTTATTGTTGATGACATAGAGTCTACAATATATAATGTACTCACCGACACAGCTGTATAGTTCCATGGCCCCCTTCTTAAGACAGCCATCCTCCTTCGTAATGCCGGTGGTTGTGTTGAGACAGAAGCAGCCCGCGTGGTTGTCCAGGAACCACTCGTTGGCTGAGAACCTCGCCACCGGTATGCCTTCGTACTCGCTGTCGTACTGATACCTCAACTCCGCAGACCTTCCAACGAACATCAAGGATCATTAAAAGAACTGGATCCAGCTAAAAATAATGGTTGAACCACTTTGTTTGTATTTGATTGAGTATAGAGAGTGCTCACAGTCACCTTGGCTATTATTCGCGTTTTTAAAGCAGTCTTCCCAAAGAGCTTTTAAGCGCTAATTGTGTACCAGGGAGGTAAGTAGAAATTACCTTAAAATAGATTATATTTTAACATTATATTTTACCTGTGTGCGGTTTTTTCGTTTTAAATATCCGATCTATTTAAGTACCTTTATTTATATATTTACCGCGACAGTGCTTTTAAGACCAAACCGAGGAACGATGTATGTGGTTAATTCTTAATTATTTACTACAGTGACGCAGAGTATAGCTATTAATAGGTTGGAAACCTTTAAATTTATTTTCGGATAAAAGCGTAACATATAATTTAAAATATTGATGACCATGAGATGTGATATTCTTACCTGCAGATGTCTGTGTTCAATGCGAACACAGGCGAGCTTCTGTCCACGAATGGTGGAAACACACCGGAGTCAGTTCCGTTGACCATGTTGCAGGTACTATTAGTGACGTCACCGCTGTCGTTCATCCAGTTCACCCAGTTAGTCAGGTAGGCTGAGTTGTTGTAAGACGAGATGATCCCCATCTGTCTTGGATCCTTAAGACCTCGCGACACCACGTACTTTTCACTCTTAGTATCGTTTTTCTAAAATACAAGAAATTCAAACTAATATACATGCTGATTGAATTAAACTCCTTGTTTCTATCAATAAATACAATTCAATATTATGTCAGTTGAAATGTTGACGGGATGAAGTGCTTTCGAACGTATGATAACCCTTTGTGAATATCCATTCCAACAGAGCCAGTAGTCAGTAGTCAGTACGTCTGTCATATGTTAAAATACTCGCAGCTTCACAAAGCTGAAGTGAACGCTATTACTTTGTTGTAATTACTTTGCGAATGATTTCAGTTTTAATACGTGAAATGTTTATATTTGAAATAGTTACGTCGAGCTGCTTCAAAGCTTTTTGCCCGCGACCTTATACACACAGCTGTAAAAAATATTATCTAAGGTGGATGTTTTTCTTGATGGAACACAGTTTATCTCAATTCCCTAGACGTTAGCTCGGACGTCAAGGAATAACAAGCATAGCCTAGATTGGATTCTACTTTACATTTCAAAACATTTTATAATTATTTTGCTAGATATTTAAAATATTCTCTTTCTCTGCTTAAGAAATATTCATATTATTTCAAGTCAAATATAGTCTTTCTATTTATAAAGATAATATGTTTTGACTGAACTCGTAATCAAGTTGAGATTGCAAAACATATTTCTTTTAATGATACAAAAATAGGTCAGGTCCTGAAATATCACATACATTGAAAATGAAACTTCAATTTAAAAATCCAATAATAAGTTACGTTTCAATGGGATTTTTTTTGTGAATCTGTCATCGTTGAAGTTCTACCTAATTGGATGCGCAGAGCAGGCAAACCACAGAGGCATCACCGTCATACACTAACCAGATTCAAAGTCAAGTAGAGTGCGAGATGAGTAAACAAACAGCAACCGGACAAGACTTAGGAAAAAACAGTTTCATTTGTAAATATGTCTCTTAGAGGAACGTTTGAAAAGTAAGCTTGTCTAACTCTTAGCTTAGAAAGGTATATTTTCATACTTACTAAAATGTATTTACTATTTGCGTTGTCAGCTCTGTTTTTTAAATTAGTTAAATTAGTTTTTGTTGTTTTAGCAATAGGATTTTTTTTAATCCAAGTATATTTTGAATTAGAAAAGTACATACCAATCGAGACAAATGTCTCATAGATCGATTACATTGTTTCCTTTTATTTTGTTTATTACCAATATTAATTAATATATATATTTATAAATAATGAACGTCTTGTTATTATGTTTCATTGTTTAATTACATTTCATAATGAAAGTTTAGTTTGTTCACATTTATGTTAGAAGTAAACTGTAAAAGTGCAGAACTAAAACCAATTTAACTTTATCGTCAACTAAAAGCTGCAACATTCAGCAGAAAATGCAATTCTTAATAACAAATAAGTCGTTATCGACCTGCAATGGAGTGTGAAGAAAGAACTGGAGAGAAAATTATTGTTGGTTATAAGAATTACTCGTGTTCAGTTGTATATATATATGTGTTCCGTAGTGATCAGTAGTAAAAATATTCTATTTAAAAGGAACATTACTTTGAGTCTCTTCAGCGAGTACAAACACAGCTGTCACAATCTTCCATTTTAAAATATTCATATTTTGAACGGCGAAGTCTAAAGCTTCTTTGTTCCATTAGTTTCTGAGAGACATTTAAATTATTAGTGAGTGTTCACGAGGCAGTGTCACTGTCAAAGATGTTCATCATTCGGTTAACCAAAGTTCATGCGAGTCGCATTAAATCGATCCTTTCGTGAATGTTAATGAAGACACTAATGGCTTCTGTTTCGTTAAGTCTAACTCGAAGTTCGACTTGATCTCCTTGTACCTAGTATTGTTTGAGAGCGCGTCATAACGGAGCACTAGCTACGAGTAGCACTACTTAAATACTTACAGAAGATACTTAGGAATTGTTATAGTTAATCTGATGTTTGTAGGGATGTGCTTCGTTAGCGTGTATAATATGTTTGTGCAATGAAGTCTTAAGTTCGTTACAGGCTTTCTGGTCCATACAATAATATGCCTGACTTGATTTATTAGTGAGATATTTATGTATAGACTTTCCGTTACTCACGAAGCATGAATTTCACGAGAAACGCTGAGGTGTACGCTGAGAATAAGTAGGAAGTAAACCGCAGCACATATTGATAATGAGTATTAGTTGAAGGAACATTTTCTAATATATGTACTTTATTATATTATTATTGAAGTTTACTTGAAGAAATTCAGAAACATAATTAATTTAACGTTTTTTTTATTGTATTTAACATACATCGTAAAATATGATAGTAAAAAACTTTTTAGCGTGTGTATTACTAATTACTAACGATCAAGTTTTTAACATAGACCATCTTAAGATTCAGTAAGTTACACTAATGTAGCAGTATAGTTATATAGTCAAATGTGTTTAATATAAACAGTTGAGATCATAGATGTCTTCCTTGTGTTATATACTCACATATTTAAGGACAGCAAACCGCAAGGAGCCGTCATCCAGGACCTCCAGATTCCTCACGTTGGCGCCGATATTCGCGATCTGGCTGCAAGCTATGAGGCCGACGATGCCGGGGTCCTTACATAGGCTCACACCCTCGAACAGAAGGTCGCCCACACGCACCGTCATCAATGGACCCGAGTGTTCACCAAACACACCGCTCAGAATAATATTCAAAATGCCCATCAGGCCGGGAAACAGACGCTCGGCCATCTGAAGTATGCTCTGCAATTAGGAATAAGGACCTATTACTTATTGTAATTATATTACTATTACAAACCTGGCAAGTACCAATGAGATTTTTCGGAGTCATGTACTTTCTGAGAGTATTTAGACACCACTGACATACGGTGAAGGAAAACATAGTGAGGAAACATGGAGTTATAGTTTCACAATTATAAGTTTGTAATCATCAGCAGTGGGCTCTGATAGGCTGATGAGGACGACGACTAATTGTAATGATATCTTATATTAAAAATGTTCCGTTTATTTTCATTAAGACCACGCCGTTATATTAAGTTTACTAAAAATAAATCTCCGGTTCTATTATAATGAGAACTTGAAATTCAAACTATTTCCTTTTTAAAATTTACAAAATTATTATCTCTCACACCACACAACGGACGTAACTACATCATTATTTTATGATAATGTCTAAATTTCATGAAATAAATTTATCGAATCTATATATATAAATAATGAGGCTAATTGAAAATTAACAATGAAATAAAATTATATTTGAAATTGTCTAATGGTATATTCAAACAGTGTGTTGCAAATCATTTTTATCGTATATATACTTGGCATGTATGTATATAGAAAGAGATTTGTACACATATATATACATGTTATATTATATTTTTTAATGTACAGTTGTGTGTTTGTTTGTCACCACTTATGGCTTCATTATGTGTTTGTGATGATATCATTGGTTGATAATCACCACCAAGTCGTCTGACGGGTACATGAACAGGTTCAAATTTAAATAATTATAATCATCATAATGTATGTATATACATTGTATATAGTATTAGTTTGTTGCTCTGACTATCTATTCTATGAAGGATTAGCCAATTAGTTGCGATTGCAAGTCTCGAATCAATCTGTGTTACAGTGGTAGTGTGCTCTCTGCTCTGGTAACGCACACTACAGTCTGCGCCAGGCCACAGCCTCCCTACAACGTCATCGAGCTTGCACACCCACCGACAGCCGCCGCCCGACACCCTCTCACCCTCCTCTCATCCTCCTATCACCCTCTCACCCACAACCAGCCACCCGCCTCCCAATCACCCACCTCGCAACACTCCTACCTCACTAAGCCGCTGCTCGCGTACATGTTTATTATTCAATAATATAACATTAAATTATATTTCAGATATTCGAATTATTTACAATTTGTATTATGTACATACATCTAGGTACCTATGTATATAACCATCATTGTTCCGTTTTAAAGGCCTTTGGGTTTTATATTTCGCGTGTCGGCAATAATAATTATTGAACATATATTTATTCAAAAGGTCGATGTACGGTTCATTTGTACCGTATTAATATAATATTTAATTAATATTAGAACATAAATTCTATACTTAAATTATATGAAATGAATTTATTACTGAAAGTTGGTACCGGGAAGTTCTCTCGGTAACAAAGTAGTGTATTCACTGTCTCGCTAGTCTCTACTTACTTATTTTATATTCTATTTGACATTTTAAACTATAATTTCAATTTTATAATACATTTAGAGCACCGTCCTCTCTATCAAAGGCTACTTTAAAAGTGTAATTGAAATATATTGAAAGGCGAACTTCTCTCTTTTGATTTAAACGATCGGACGCAGTCGGGTCGTGAGTCTTGTTTAATAAACGCCCTCATATAGCTCCGTACCAGCATTCCACGGCCGCTGATGCTGTTTTGTTGGTATTCGTCGGTTCAGGTCACAATGAGAACTAGTCGGTGGCTCCGTAGTATTCCAAACGTTAGATTCTGTTCAGTATGTGTGAGTTAATATCCACTTTGAACACACCAATACATTGTTTAATATTTACTTTCAATTAATCAGTTATAACTCATTTTCTATTTAGAGTATTTTCATATAATTATTTGTGATTATTCGTGTTCCACATACTCCCTAGCGACAGCTATCATCATCATTGTAGATTGTTATTTACTGTTATATATAATGTACATAGTTCGTAACCTCTAAATAAAATGAACACAGAAATAGAAGCCGTATCAAAATTTTATATTTAAAGGTCAAAGTTCAGTTTGATGTGTTGTTGATGAAATGAAAACTTAAACATAATAATCAATAAATACATATATAATCTCATATTCGTTGTTTTAGGAATAAAAACTGTAAAACAGATAGTTTGTAGTTTACAGATAAAAACTCATGGTACGCTTTTCATCCTTTATATAAACGGTATATGTACATAATGTCCACTCTATATACATACCTCTATTATATACAACATGTATATATGAGTCTGTATAATCAAACATATGAAGCCATTGTGTAATGATCGGAAAATTAATTGCATTTCACTGAAAATTCTGACGAGTTAATTTCAATTACTGAATATATTAATAATAATTATGGGTAATATAAGTAAATTTTAGTCAGTGATGGCCTAGTGGTTAAAAGGCCTCTCATGCATGGGGGCGCAGGTTCGATCCTGGCAAGTACTAATGTGATTTTTCCCAGTCATACGCACTTTCTAAGAGTATTTAGACACCACTGATTAATGCATTTACAAAGAGGGTTGATGTCAGGCAGGCGGTCAGTCGTAAAAAGGATTAGCCAAAACTATTCACAACATGTAAGGCAGACCCTTGCTAAAGCTGGGAAATTGCCAGGAAGAAGAGGAAGATAAGTAAATTTTAACGTACGTTCACAGTCGTCATATGTAAGATACTAGTTCATTTATTCAAGACAAAATCAAGTTAACAATCTTTTACTATGATAAAGTATATTTTTTCCTCATTATGTATATAAGAGTGTGGTTTAGTAGACTGTTTCTAAATTTATAATAACCAGTTAGTTAGCTCAGCGTACACTCTGTTAAAGAACGTGTCAAAAGTTATATAAAGTTTTATATTTGTTCTCAACGTAGGTACAACGTGTTCGCCTGAAACACACATTATAATAAAACGTTTATTATATAATATAAGAGCTTTAACAAGTTGTAGGTGAGGCAGGTGAACCTGTTGCTCCATTGTTTTAGTATTTGCTGAAACTTTGTCTGTACAGATTCAATGTTTAGACAATGCTCTGCTAACGGATGGTCAAATTCATTGTGCTGTCCTCCAACTTTTGAATATATTGTTAAATGTATTTATTATATAAATAGCTTTTTGTTTTCACTGTGTATGTTACGATCTGTTCTGATGTCATCGATATATTCAATTCTGTACACTAATTAGGTTTAATATGTATTCAGCGGGTAGAGTTGTCTAATTACCGTGTATTTAGAAGTTCGTGTATTGATACACTCGAACACAAACACGAGGTCTATTGCTTGTATAGATCGAAACGTTATGTTCCAATTAGTTTGCTCTTTGAATCAATATGACAGGAACTTAGCTGTTCACTGACTGACTAACAATAATATATATTTTATTGTACAACGAACACGTTGTAGATGCAAAACCACATTCCTAGCAGCATTCAGTCATGCAAATATATTCCCATCAATGTCTTTCTGTACATTTTAAAGATGAAAACATTCTTATATTCCCCCGAGCTACACTAGTGCCCGCCCGCAGCGTTGCTCGCATGCATACTTAATACGAGGCGCGAGAGGTCAAGCGTCCTCTTACATTCGCTCATAAAAGACAGTTATATTGCACTTCAACCACCCGACATTTAAAGTCTTCTTTTAACAACTTTTTTTTCTTATCGCCATATTTTCGTTATGTGTTTTATTCTAGTATGTAGTGACAATAATTTATATTTATATATAGAGCTGTATGTAGGTTCTACTGGATGAGCTCCCCCGTTCAGGAGCCGGGAGACCTGTGTAATGATTTCCATGACCCACTGACCTACATCATCATCATCACACTACATTTTAACGTACGATCTAGTCGAGCTAGGGTTGAAACACATTACAATATAATATTATCATTTTAAAGTAAGCTCGTATCAATGTTTGAGGATGTATCTTCATCATCAACATTCCACATTCAGTTCTCACATGCACGTTGTCTGATAACAACACACTGTACACGACACTGATTGTTATCAAACGTTTTATTTAATAACTTTTTTCACTTATCTTAATCTTTGAAACTATTTCGTTTGAAAATTTAATTATAATTGTTATTGACACAACATTAAATGGGGAGTGTGTTAATGTGTGTGCCTGCATGCGTGCATATGTGTGGGTGTGCATAGATATTATCAAATAAAAAAAACATTGTTTTGTTTCAAGTGCGCTTCTAATATCGTATTTTAAATACTATTTCGTTTTATCAAAATAATATATTTTTGAATTTTGAATAATATATTTTATAGTGAATAATATATTTTATAAATTTTAAAGTAGGGTCAGTTAGTTGGAACTGATAAGTATATAAATAAAAGCATGTATGAACGCGGACAGGGTGGGAGTTTAGCATTAGTTAATAAGAAATATGTATGTCATCATTATAATAATAATCGTGTGTGGTTATCATTGATAAATATATATCTTATCAGTACGAAACAGAAATAACAAAAAAATAATTAAAATATATTCAATTGACACTGATATAATTATGTTTTCTTTATAATATTTCATAATAAACGTTCCATTCTGCCGCTGTGTGTTTTTTTTCCTATGTTCGTAGCGGCACCACGCACCTGTACATTAGCCTCTCATGTTAAAAGTCTGCCAACAACCTATTCATCTCAGTTACATGACCCGGATCTCTCTACTAAATAATATGCCCACTATTCTCTCACTCACATATATATTTGAGTTTTTTAACTCACCCACTTGTTCGCTTTGATAAATTTCATGAATAGCAGATTGTTTTAATAGAAAATTTTCATTTTATCTTGAATATTATATAATATTAGTGTTATAAGCCGTTATTAATTAAGCATATTCTCGCCTGCAGTGAGTACAAGCCGGCTTATAGGAGGATTAACAGGAATTAATCTTAGAACGCATTAATGCACTACGCTTCTGGCAGGAGAATTATTATATACACATATACTATTAAATTTAAGCCATGATCGGCTTATATGAAATCAATGAAATCTTGAAGTAGTGTGTCGGTAATGAAGTGTTAACAACAATATTAACAGCGTGTCATTGAGTCAGTGTCTGTCTGTGTGTGAGTGATCGCTCTGTGTCTGTGTTCAGATGAGTTGCATCTCGTAGCCTGGATGCTGCCCGCTCCGGGCTCGATCGATCGCCGCGGCCGCCCGACTCCTGTTTAACCGATATGCACTTTGTACATATTTACTACATATTTCGTGTTTAATAAACATCAAAGGGAGCTCATATAATTTTCTCTTTGACGGACATTTGCGGCTTTCCGTTTGACATTTATAATTTTTTGTACAGTATGTATTTATTAATTCCGTTTCATGTACCGTTCCACGTGAATCGACTGATAATTACGTTATGTGTATTAGTAAACAACGTGACTAGTTGATGAAGCTCGCAGAGGCGATAATAAAACTTAAACGAGATTCTATCATAAAGCTTGTACACAACAGACGAGTTTCAGAATTTTATAGTGTGTCATAGTTTGTTAGTCAAAGCTTTAAGATTATGACGGCTTCCTGAATCTACACCGTCTTCATCTTAAAGCATAGAATGCTTGCAAAGAAAACTTATACGTTGAAGTTTCATTATAAGCTGGCTTTCTAATTTCTCATTGATGCCGTACAATTAATTAATTTCCTTTCAAAGAGCTCTGTATTTTCCTTTGAGCTAAACTTTTATATGTAGTCACAAAGGTACGGTTGGCTTGTTGTTCACGGCAACTAGACTAGAACTAAGTACCTGACAAACATTCATAATTATATAAATATGGAACTAAATTAGAAAGTTCTAGTCTGCTAGTTCAAACACGGAATATAAATTAAACATTGTTCTCAGTATCGCTACGTATTAAAACATTATATGACAATTGTTTTAAACTTTCCTTGATGGTAATATTTTTTTCAGTCATTCAGAAATTTTCATAACTCTTTAACGTAAAAGATATATCATAACACATTTAACGTAAAAGATATATCATAACACATTTGATACGAAGAAGTTATGTTCAGACGATGAGAGCAATCTTCAACCTACACTCTCAATCTCAGATCGTTTGACATTTCATTGACATGAAAAGACGTTCACAAAACTTATCATAAAAAAATATTATCACTACTAAGGTTATTACTCCCAAATATTTATAAAGCATCTGCTTTAATACTAAGTCTTCATCAAAGATTCTATCTAAATCTTTCTGTACATGTCATCGCTAGCCACAACAGAGACAGAGCTACGTAGAGCGATGGTTTTTTTCTTCATGACCTTATTAACACGAGAGTGTTGTGTAATTAGTCATACAAATAAATAATCACAGATCTTCATTTGTTTAAACTGATACTGGATATTTTGAGTAAAGAAAAAGTCTAAATATTGAGCATTTTTAAAAGTATTGACTAATAATTTAATCCTATATCATGAAAATCTGTTACAATAAAACGATGGATCTCATTAAGACAGTCATTTTGCAATAAGAAATACACTAATGATAGCGTGGGAAATATTTATGTGGGAAAAACTCACAAATAACAAATATCTATAATGAAGACTAACACGTTACTGAAATAATATGTGTTGGAAGTAAGGACGAAGATACGGACGCGTGGTAGATACATATATAGGATGACTTTTAATTGTTTTATACTCAAACACTCTAAGAAATAATACAAATGTGTTTTGAATGAAATATTCATATCATACATCATGTTGTTTGCAGGGACAGATAAGAAAATAGAGATTTCTAATAGTCTAACTATAAAATATATAAAACTTAGATGAATTGAGTAATTTATGTTCCTGAAGTAACGGGTAAAGACGTACGTAAATGTTATAGATAGATAGATAGTAATTTTATACTATCTATATATCTATATGATATATTTATGAACATTCTGTAAAACATTACCGATTTTGTAAAAACATTTTTCATTCGTCATGCGTCCGTTTTTCGTATGTTTTTTAAAGCACTGCAAATAACATTTTGTTTTCATAACATTTCACGGAAAAAATATATCGCAAAGCATGTATATAGTGGAAAAGAATATGTCGTTTTTTATGTACTCTTTGACTTGTTAAAAATTCAGTCAGAATGAAACAGCTTCAAATATTTTTATAAAAATATTCTTCAGAAACATTATTTTACTTTTCCTGCTACTAATTTGGAATAGAAATTTGTAAGTATATTTTATATAGCAATAAAGTACACATATATTAATAAATTTAACATGAAAACTTATGTTAATAAATAAATTTCGCATTGCCATATGTAATTTTCAATCGCTGTCAATAAGTATTTTATCCAATAATTAGTACCAAGCAGGTATCTAGACTTTGCTTCTTATCAACATGATATAAAACATACTTTCAGTTTGAAGGCGGCGTCATTTCCTTGCGTCAAGACTCAAGGCAGAAGACGTCTTAAAGAAAGATTTGATTAAAGCTAAGCAAATTGGTATCTTGTCAGTACAAAAACAGTAAACCTCTATCTTAAATGAGTAAAGTAGTAATTCATTGTATATATGTACATACATTCTGGTTCCAGTTACAGAATTGCAAGCAAATAATTTATTATGAACCTGTAATTATATGAAGTAAAAGGTACGATGTACAAAGAGATTTGACAAGCTTGTTTTAGAATAACAAAGAAGGTTCTAAGGAATAGTTTCTTTGTAAATGATTTTAATTATATTGCCTTTCCTACAAAGATTTTATATTTTTGTTTATATACTTATGATTTTTATATAGAACATAATTCATATGTTCAGTGGGTGTGGTGAATGACGTTTATTTTTGTAGCTGCCGTCTCTACATTCGTAATGAACACCTTATTGAACACTTAATATTGACTCTATATAATAAACTATTCATTCAAAATAAAAATCATTTCTAATTTCATTTTTACGATATTCTACTAATGAGTGTTTCAAATGATTAAAACTTTTAAATATATATATAATATTCTGTAAAATGTTTTGCGTATAAACATTTCGTAATTATTTGTTGCAGCTTTTCGTATTTACCAGAAACGTGAGTATTTAACGAAAAGTTAAAAGGAAAAACATTTCCAGTTCCGTGAAACCGGCTGCCGTATTTTATTAAATTTCATGTATTTTCTGTTGCACATTTTCTGTTATATATATTCTCGGTATATAACCTACATCATGTAAATGGAAGCGAACGAGATATATGAACTGAGTTTTTAGAAGAGCTCGTTTATTTAAAATGCTTATGTAATAATAAAAAATTGTGACTTGAAAGTTAATATGAGTTTTCTTAGCTTGGGTCTTGCTGTCTGTGTATCAACGTCACAAAGTATTTCTTTATTCTGTGGCTTTTAACTTGTTTGTGAATTGTAATGTATGTATGTAATTATTATTAGATATATGTAGTATACGTTTTCCACATTGAAATAGATTGATGATAAAGAAGAATCTCGGCCAGAAAATTTGAAGTAAGTTATAGTCGCACCAGAAAACGCTACCGGCATTTATAAATAGGTCTTAATATGTATAATACTCACGTGGAAGGCTACGTTCGCGATGGTGACTCGGTCGTCTTCAGTCAGTGGGTAAGAAGCCTCAGCATCGAACTCAAACTGATCTCGTCGACGGTAAGTGATGCTGTCCTCACCCATCTCCTCGATCTCACGTCTCTGAATAAGTCTGAAGCATAACTTGCATTAAGTCCGATGTCATGTTTTTTACACGTAGTTCAATGGATACTTTTATTTAACAGTCAATGTGAATTAATTGTCTTTGTAAGTCCAAGTAATAGTGTGTTCGCTCACTTGTAACTGTAAGGGCCGACTTCTGTAACGACGGGGACTCCGCCGTTGAGGACCACGTCAGCATTGCTCACGTTGAAGAGTCGCACGTTGAAGGTGAGAGGGAAGGGAACCTCCTCGAAACGATCGAACTGCTCCGTGTCATTGGTGAGCACCACCTCCTGTGGGGAGAAATTATATTAGATAAACATCGCCAATAATAACGACAAACAATATCCTTATCTATGACATCGATAGTTCAGAACTAAGTAGTCAATATTGCATAGCACAAAAATTCTTCATACTTACAAAGTAATACGTATAATCTCAGCCTATCCTCTTTAATTTGATTAATTAGGTCCAACGTTATCGAAAATTATAATCATTGTTAAGTAACAATCATAATAAATAGATCAGAATTTCATAATTACAGAGATTATAACATAGATTATTTTTATTATGAAAAATATTTTACAAAATAAGTAGGCATATATTTTATTGTTTGTTTCATGTAAAGCTTAACGTACATGTTAGGGTTGTCACCTTTGTGTTAATGTTGTTGCTGACGTATGTGTATACTCACACTCTCTATAACACTGTCTATGATGCCCGGGACCACTCCGAAGGCTACATACGAGCTGACTGCCACCAGCACCAACCCTCCTAACAAGCTCACCATACCACAAGCAAAGTTACACATTTTGTCAACAATAGCCCGCTGCCGCCGGTCGGTTAGTCAATACTGTTTATTGTAATTGTGATAATGTTCACTAATTGATATAAATTACTTAATATTATAGGGTTCTGTGGATCACCTGTCTCTTCAAGATTCTCCTCAGCTGATAAGGAGTTAATTCAGAACAATGACATCATATATTCCTTAAACAAAATCCTTTGAAGGGAAACTGTAGATTAAAATATGACACTTGTCGCTGTATTTATCGCGAAAACGTGCACATCATAAAAAAGCCAACGACATACGGAACCACGCGAACAAAATATTACCTTGGATTATTGTAATCAATTGCAGCATTAATTATTTGCTAATAGTGATAATACGATTTGTAAATGATTGCTAAAGAAAATGTCACACACACACACACACAAACGACAAGACGAAAAGATAATATAGAGAAAAAAACAAAATACCTTGTGTTTTAATGTAATTTGGATGGTAGCAATTAAACAGATTGATCATTAGTCAGTGCAATGGAAGGTCTCATCAAACTAATTATTATTATTGACTACACATCAAAGACATTTACTATCATCAGTCAAATGCAGAATTAAATTAAAACTACCATTTATATTCATTGTATTGCATTTCGGAATATAATGAAAATATCTTAATTGAATTATATTAGGGTTATCATGAGGCTTAACGATGGCCTTAATGAGTTCATGTATTGATAATGAATCGATCGTGTGTGACGAGCAACGAGGTATAAAGTTAGCGAGAAATTGAATTTTCATATCGAAAACCTAATATCATCAACATCCCAATTTAAATTTTTTAAAGTATCAACAATAATATTCATTTTAACTGTTTCATGACAAGTTAATTAAAACTAAAATGAACCAACGAACGTGTTTAATAAACATTTCGCTTTGAACTTATCGTTTAAATTTGCTTTCATATGTTACGTCCGTTGACGGGTGTGACAAACAAACAAAATGACAACCTTTAATACAATAGATTGTGTTTTAATTAAGATTACTATCAATATAGATCTTTTTTATTATAAATTCTTTGCATAAACTTTATTATTAGACAGACAATGATGAAGAACACTCTTCCTAGGAGTTTTATTTGGTTAAGTCTCGGTCTTTGTTCCAGCGCGAAATGCTATTAGCGTTCGTACAAAGACACTTAGAGAAATTTTTCAAACGATCGATAACCTATACTGAGTGAACCGGAGTCAAAATATATTAATTAATATAAACATAGTATATTTTTCATTCAGTTTTTCATAAGTACGGATAAGAAAGTAGTGTATTCATTATGATATGGCTCGCTATCTGATACAATATTTTTTATCTCTGTCATTGATAAGGTAAGTTACAATTATTAAGAAAATATATGAAAGTAGATTTGATCGTGTGTATTATATCACAGTTGAAAAAAGTACTAAACACATTACATAACAAATACGCGTACATGTTCAAGATTTAATGAGGTATGGATGATGTACGATAAGAATATCAAAATTTTTGTATCAAATCGGATTAAAAACAAATCATTTGATTACTTCATAAATCCGGCTATATATAGAGTAGATGTGCACTGCGTGCGTCTGTCACAAACATTGTACGGGGACACGTGGACGTTTGTAGGATAAACTAAAGCCTACAGCGAAACTATTACACCTTTGATCATGAAAATGAAATATTGACGAACGGATTTAATAAACGTGGACCGGCAAAAAACCGTTTGAGCTATAAAATATTGTAATATAGAAAGTCGGGATTTTTTATTAGTTGAACATTTTCCAATGCGAATTCAATTATTAATCCGTCGTCATCCTCGTGGTCTGTAATTTAATTTTCCGTCGATGAAAGCCGCTTCACGGAACTGAACTGAAAAACATCGTTTAGTTGGTATTTTTAGTTTGTTTTAATTTAGCCGTTGAGTACCTATTAAGTGTGACCTTTTAGCGCGTCTTTGTCTCTTGGAGTGTAATAACTAACAACGTTAAAGTTCTATGTAAAAATTAATTATAAATTCTTTTCTCTAGTCACTCGCTTTGGCGGGTTTTTGATATTTTAATAATGATATTTTTTTCTCAAGAATATATTATAAATTGTCTTTTATTATTCATGAATTTTAAAGACTCATTTTATAAAGACACTCTCTTGATTATGCATTTCTATCTTATACGTATAAATGAAAGAAGGTTTTGTACGGTTTAATAAAATCTAATTGTCTTATCTTCTACTGCGATAAATATTGTAAAATTTACGGCAAATCGTAGTATATACAAGTCAGTGGTGGCCTAGTGGTTAAAGGCCCGCCTCTCATAAATGAGGGCGCGGGTTCGATCCTGGCAAGTACCAAAATGGTTTTTCCGAGTCATATGTACTTTCTAAGAGTATTTAGGCACCACAGACAGACGCTAAAGGAAAATATCGTGGGGAAACCTGGACTTATAATTTCACAATTATAAGTTTGAAATCACCAATACGTCTAGAGCAAGGGTGGTGATTAATGTTCAAACCTTCTACATGTGAAAAAGAGGCCTTTGCCCAGCAGTGGCCTCTGATAGGCTGATGATAAAACAAGTAACTCAAGAACATTCTCAGCGTTAAAAAATATAAACAAAGTATATGTATTATATTCGCACAAAATTCTAATGTTATATTTGATTAATTATTAGTTATAATTACTTGCAAGTGTATATCAAAGAACTTATTATGTTTATCTAAAACTTTTCACAGTTTTATTTTCGTCCATCTATCGCAATGTCGCATTACAAGTAACCGGAGTCCACAAATGCATCTATCGTGTGGCCGATTATATTTATTAACAGCTGAGTCCGCGACCCTTTATTTAAATAATTGGTTTTAAGAGGATCATTGATTGTCGAATTGAGATTGATGGACGAAAAGGTAGCGACTAGATAATGTGGTTATTGTATTGAAAAGCTTTAAGCTAATAAAAGTAAGTTTCATTTGATATTAAAATTTCGACATATAATTATGCAATATGAATTTAATTGGGCTATTAAGAATTAATTTTTTTAATTTTATGTACGTACTATAGTTCATTGCTGAGAAATATTATTAATTTTTTAACCAGCCTGCGGAAAACTCTAAGAAAAAACATAGCCACAACCTTGAATATAATTACAAGCCGATGTCCCTCTTTCCGTACTCTTAACTTAGTTTTCCCTTCGACAGTTTATTTTATTTCATCATTTTTTATATCTCTTAAGTTAGGTTGTAACTCTGTTCGTGTCTTCAATTTATTTAATTAATTTATTTAGGAAGTCCTAAATGCTTTACTTGACCATTGATTTATTATGAAACGACTTTTTTTAGGTAATATTACGGTGTCATTAATTAATAAATGTGACTAATAATATTAATATATATTACTAGTGTTTGTCCGCGACTTCATCCGCGTTGATTTTGCAATTGGGGTCAGAGGGTAAGCGACATCTATCGACCGTGTCATGTTAAACAAAATATAACATTAATACAACGTGTTTTAAAAATAAATTAATATATATTATGGTTAAAGAATCTATCTATCTATCTTTTTTAATAAATTTTATTTATAAACTAACTTGATCCGGGCAAGCAGTGGACCTCACGTGACCGGAGAAGAAGAAGAAATCCGGGTAATGATGATAAATTTTATAATATAAAATTTGTCAGAATCAGTTAAGCCACGATGAATCTATTGAATATTGAATATGGTTTTATAAAAAATATACACATATACATATATGTGTTAATACTCATATACCCTAAAAACACGCCCTTTTCATCAAATTATAGTAAAAGTTTCTTATTATCTAAAAATTAATCACTATTAAATATGTTCGAATTTTTCCATTAACCATAGATTATGTCGGTTGATTGAGTACATATTTTCATTTATTTATATATTTATATATAGTTGTTTAAATCGTTTTATATAAATCTAGATCGTTAGGGTTAATGTCCTATATATCTGGCCTGGATACAAGCTCCCGACCCTGGAGCGAGCCCCCCCCCCCCCCCCCCGCCTAGCGCCCGTCCCGCACCCCGCACCCCTCCACCTAGCTCTCACATAATTTAAATAAGCTTTTTATTTTGCTATATTTTTTAAGCCTTATTTATTTTATTCAATAGTTTTATTTACCTTTATTTTTCTATAAACACCTGGAGCGTTCTACCTTAAAGTAGTTTTGTCATTCTAGCCACAAGTGTTCCTTAGACTTGCTTCTTTTGCTTCAACACCACCGAATGTGAAATATCTCCGCTTGTCGACATAAATCTTTTCAGAGTTCTATCTTAAAGCAGTATTTCGTCTTTAAGGAACAAAAGAATGTAATTCGAGAAAAATATTTTTCATTTCAATCAAGTAATTTTTGTTATTTCAAAACTTTAATCATCGAAATTGTATAGTATATAAATGGAACGGAATTAATTCAATAGTAAATTTCAAAAATTTTATAATATTTTTACCATTGTTCAAATTCACCACATCACATAATCTGTGGAGTATCGATAACTTGCCAGCGATAGTTACGTTTCTTTATAACAATAGGAATTATTTATATATATTTTTGATATGAACAATGACTGTAATGCTAGCATTGTTTATTGCATACATAGAGTACATAGTTATTGTCATTTATAAACTCAGACAGCTACAGTGAACGTGTTCAATATCCACACCGGCTGGACTGTTGTGACCACAGCTCAAATATTTCGCACGAGGCCTAGCCTGAATCTCTCGTTTAGTTTGATATCATATTATCATCAAACAATTACCGTTTGATAACACGATCGTTGCGGTAACACCGGCTTTAGGGGAACGAAAACATTAAATTGTATACAGAATAGTTTTTTGTTTGCATTTGTATGGAAAACATCGAATAATAATAATTAACCATGTGTTGTTTATACTATTTGGCTACCTGTAAAGATACTTCATATATGTAGAGTGTCATTGTAAATACAGTAACAGGGAAGATTTTTAAAAGGTTATTA